TGAGTTGCCAAAACGTGGATGGGTTATGATCCAACAGCCGAAGTAGACATAATTTCTTTCAGCTTACGAAGGTGACTGAGCGATTCGTGTGTGAAAAATCCTATTTACAGCTCTGGTTTCTTTGTGAATGTGGGCTGGCTCGCGTACAAAGGCAGGGAAAACCTGGAGGAGAATTGGAAGGAGGTTTGCGCAATGCACAGCGCATGCTGTTAAAACTTTATTATGAGATGGGCAGAATCTTTATCTCAATGTTGTCAAAGAAGCTAACTAGTCCGCAACGTTGGTGATTCTCTAAGCTCAAGCATTAGCCTTGACGGTCCATTTCAATTGAAACAGCACGTTGACGAGAACATGACGTTCCGCCGCCGCCGTTTCCTTCGTCGACACCTTCCTGGCCAGACCAGCGCCCGGGACCCGGCCGGAGCTCCGTCGAGGCCCACCTAACAAATCAGCCGCACTCGGCAAGCGTAACGAGGTCGAACAACGATAACGACGGACCCGAGCGGCACTTTTCGTAATGGGCCCGCGGCGTCGCGCGCGCCGCCTCTACAGTCCGGCGGGAGGGGCCGGTGCGCCGCGGCGCCCTCTCAAACGGGCCGTTTTACGGGCGCCGCCGACGTAACGCCCCAGTCGGGGTCGACTGGGCGGCGCCAGCCGGGCGTGGGGCAGATGGGCGAGCAGCCGGCGGGCCCGCAGCTGACGTCCGCCCGGAGGTGGACGCCTCGGACCCGCCACGGCGCCCCCGAGCGGCGACGGAGCGCGCGCGCTGGCTGTTGCGCCTCCACGCGCGTCGCGGGCCTCCGTCGTGGGGCTGCATCGACGTGTTGAATGTTTGTCGGCTACGCAAACACTCCATAAAATGAGTGGCTGTCGTGAATGCGAACTTTCTGCGCTAGAGTTGCATGAAGCAGAGCGCTAACGAACTGGCATAAAGTTGTCGCATGTCCACGTGAAATTAAACTTTCTGCAGTGACGTAATAAAGAGTTACATGCAATGACGAAGTATATCAGTTGTGGGCACGTCAGCATAGTGATACAGCACAGCGCGGATGAGATAAACCTGCAAGCTGTGGACTTACATCCGGATCAAGTTAAATCGGATGATGAATGCTCACCACAACACGGATTACAGCCAGAGGAGATTAAAGTGGTCTCACACCGATTGAACCTATAAAAATCAATGGACGCAACCCATCACTAAATTATTCTTAAGATACCTAAAGAGGACATTAACTCAGATAAAATAACTCTGATCCACGAATAACTCTACAAAATGACTCACACGTACTTTCGTGGAACCGGAGAGGCTCAACATATTCATAGCAACTTATGCTGAACAACTTGCTTGACGAGCTTCTTTTACTATTGAGGTGAAGGATCCAGCCTCGCTAACTTGAAACAACATAACAGCAAATGCTAGGAGCAATCCACTTTGGACCCATTCTAAAGCTATTTTTTGTCATTTGTTTCCGCTTAAAGGAAATATCCCGCCTTTGGGGCATGTGTCACGAACATACCTAGGTGACACCTCAGAACCACTTAGGTATGATGAGAGCTATGTGTGGTGCCGCTGCAGCACTATCGAAATATGATAAGGGTACAATTCTGCATTGTTTTCGAGTCAAATTACATTGTCAACGTTTTTTAACTGCACTACACTTCTTTCTTTCTTGGAAGCCCCGGAGTGTGTCTCGAGTTCGCGACAACTGCAGTTGTCGCAACCGCCGCCGTTATAACGGCAGCAGAATCCGCTGAAGGCCGTTGCCAGCTGTTACGGGTTAGATGTACAACTTTTAAGTTGTTTATCGCTCACATTGCAGACCTGCGGACCCAACAGTGGCATATATACTGGTGTGAATGGCATCAGGACAAATGAACCTTGGTGTGACTGGCATAGCGAGCGGCAAGGGCAGTTACTGAGAGGCGCATTGGTTGAAATTTGAACCAGTGCTTCACCGCAGACCATGTCATACTCCATTTTCTAAAGCCGAAGTGCTCTCCGAAAGAGCCACGGTGGCAAACGCCATAGGGCGAAAATGAAAGCCAATGTATTACGTTTCGTTGAATTTGCTGCCTAATAGCCTCATGTTTGCATACTTTTTTCTCTAAAAAAGTATTTCAAGCTTTCGCAGCATTTTCTGCACAAACATTTGGACAAGCTCGTGTGTAATAACATAACAACACGCAAACGTTGAAAAAAACAGGCAAATTAAGTATATTACCTTCATTGCGTTGAGCAGGGAGTCCAATGAGATTGATCCCGCAGAAGCGGCAACTCACATCGGAATTCTGAGCTGCTCAAAAGGAATCCAAGAAAACTGGTATGACTGACCAAAGCGGGCGCGTCTGATCTGACAATAAGTGAAAAGTACAAGAAAGGTGGCCCCTCCCGTCAACCCCTCCCGCGGAACTTGGCTCGCGAAGCTCCACCTGATCCCTGCAAGCTGGGTTACAATGCTTCAGCGTTCCCTCACGGGCTTGCCGTTCTTACGGCTGTCATAGTGGATCCAATGTCACGGGGCAGCCTTGAAGGCAGCTATAGCTCAGCCGCACACACACACTCAGCCAAGGCTTTCCGCTTCGTATGTAATGCGATACGGCAGAAAATCATTACGGCGCCAATGTTCTTCACGATATCATTGGATCAATATGACTGCCTGCATGCAAGCAGTGAACTGATCGTGATCAAACACTGCGGAAAAGGCTGGTCAGCCGTGGTTGGTCCCGCTCAGAAACAGGTTTCTTTAGCCAGCCTCGGAGCTCGCGAGACGATTGGCTCTTACGCCGTTTATCAGAATTTTCACAGAACGGCCGGATGCAAAGTTTGCTCAACCTCTCGCCAATTAAAAGTTTGAGAATAGTCGGTCGCATCCCATCAGCTTAAGGAGAACGCCACAATACCTTTCGGGAACAAAAAAAGCTTTTCATAGGCGCCTGGTCGACGTTAAATAAAGGTTACAGGTAAGAGGTGGTGTGCACGTTAGTATTAGATATAATCATCGTGCTCTGATTGAAATAAGAGTTAAACCGTTATCAATAACATGCAGTTGAGCTGGTCAGGAGCGCTGATTCAAACGGAATACTAACGGGATTGGGTGCATCGCGAACGCTTTTTTGTATAACATATGCACGCAGCCTGGGCATGCTGTCCTTATTCAGCCAGTTTCAATATATGCTCGAGAATTTCCTCTCACACTACACTGTAAGAACTCTGTAACACTTTATCCTTGACCTGGGTCTAGTGGGAGAACAGTACCACATATTGCCGTGTCAATTATGGCGGTGTTTTAGCTCATTTTGGTACGGCCGAAGAAAAAACACACAGGGGGCAGCATTTCGGTTGATGGAGACTCTTTGGACCTGTAAAGCTGAGTTAAACATTTATTTTTAAGTCGGCGTAATCCCCGCAACAAGCAATAAAAGAGCGCAGGACGATTGTGTTCGTCGTCGATTTGCTTCGTCGTTTTGTTTTGAAGCCCGCTGCTCGGTCGGCTTGAACCTGGCCAACAATTGGCATTGACCCAATGTATGAGAGAGCTGGGCCAGTTGAGGGCACTTTGTTCCGGGGTTCCTTGTGCTGCCACGCGGGACCAACCAACTAACGTTTGGTGCAAGGCATGCACAGGGTGAGGTAACTGGATCATTCAGCGTTCTGCCTCGAAATTGCGCAGCTGGTGCCCCCTGGCCATCTCGTATGGCAGTATAGTTATTTGTTCCCAGTTTTGCAGTCGGTAGCATTAACACCAGTGTTATTAGTACGTGAAATGTGGAATGGTTGTAATGACATGCATGCAATGACATGCTATTCCAGGTCTGTACGGAAGGACAAAAAAAGGTAAGCCGCTACACAAATAAGGTGTTTAATCTCCTATCTCTTAAGCTAAACATTGTGAAAATATTGAGTGCTGCATGACAGATTTTACTCCAATTTTAGGGTGCCTTTTGATTAACGTAGGGGCTGCTTTAATTCGTTTGGTTTGTAACGCCATCACGACGCGGTGTAAGCCATCGTCTGTCAGAGTTTTCATCCCATGTAGCGGGAATTTGGTGCAGTCAGTGAACGAATAATGGCCGAAGGCTGACTCCTGCACTTGCACTGCACTGAAAACAGTGAAGTCACAACTTTATGAGCTGGTTTTATGACACCCAGTCTCTTTACACAGTTCCTCATTCTTCACCTTCATTTCCTTATCCCATAAAGCCCCCACATATGCTCATTCATCTCGATTGGACACGGAACTGCCACGCGTGAATGTAAATGCATTAATCGCTACAGTACAATGGTCATGGTTCCAGCGCAGCAGCGCAGACACAATCTCATGGTTTTCTATAGGGCAGCCTCACTCTCAGCTGATATTCGTGAAGCTTCCTTTTGTGTTTTGGGGACCATGGCCAGGGAGTTTCGAACATCTTAGAAGTGGTTAGGGCGTGGGTCGAAACTACCTTGGAAGCTCAGTTATTTCCACATGTCACTGCTAGCTTATGTTAAAGATTGACAAGTTCGGCGGGGGGGGGGGGGGTACACGACTTCTCAGTTTTCCCCACCTTCCCGGTTACGGACAATTCCATACTGACATACCTCCCAGAAAATGGCTAAAAACTCTGAAGCCGGCCGAAACTTGTGCTATTTTTTCAAAAATGTCTTTTAGCAGATAATACTGTAAAGCCCTGCCGCAGTGAGATTCCCCTCATTACAACCGTGCATATGGCAGCTGTTGTCCCTCGACGGATGCAGCCGCGGCGTTCCTCCGGCCACTGGTGTAGCCACCGAGGGGCTGTGGTAACACGTGCTATCTCGTGGTTACAAAATTTCGTCTTGCCCCCAGCCCAGCCTAAAGGATGTACGTTTTTTGCATTTTCCTCTTTCAAGCTGCCATTTTTAGGTAAGATTTTCCGCTCCCGAATTCAGTTTCATCCATCCCCAACATGCCTTGCTCCTCCGCCCCCCCCCCTCGATCTCAGACACGTGGTCATACCCATGCCACTGACTGTCCTCTCAGATCGAGTCAGCCATGTTTCGGCCGTGGAGGGCCAGCTGGCAGAGCTTCCTTGCGACATCGCAGAGAGCAACGAGGAGGCTGAACTGCGGCTGGTCCTGTGGTACTACGGCTCCGGAAGCACCATTTATACGTGAGTTGTGGCCGCGTAAGGATGAGGAACGTCGGCATGATTTGCCGTTACGATGGCAGTCATGGTTTATTTTGTCAAGTTTCCGCCAGCAGCAGTTTTGGTGCGCGAGGCATGGTGTAGGCCTCAGTGGTTCGGAAAACGGGAGGGATGACGGGGCCGTCATATAGATCAGTGTCGTCCTGTTCAGTTCACCGGGACCAGCCACTTCTTCATCCTGCATAATCCCAGCTCATCAGTCCTGACATGCCTGGTGAAGAAGTGGCAGGCTTAGTTCGTGGCAAGCAGCTCCAGCGCCGCCTCCTCCTTCCAGAGAAATGGCGGCCATTTTGGGCCGGGATTGCCCGCAGAAAAATGTGATAAGTTGGGAAAGTGAGAGCCCACCGCCCACCCGGTCGGCGACCATTTTCGATTACCCGGGGATGGTCTGAGTTACTTTTATACGGGGCTGCCTTTCGTGTGTCGCATGAACGAAGGGTGCTGCATGTATCTGAGCCAATGAATAGATGGTTCTCTTTTGCACTCATCAGCTGCCATGACGTAGATTGCTTCCTCAAGCTAAGCCCGCCTAGTCCTCAAGATGTGCACAAGTCCACACGCGCGTCATACACATGTGCGTCTTTTGCCAGCCAAATGAAAAGGCTTCTTTTTGGAAAACCGAACCGAGCACAACGTTTAATAAATGCTCACTTCTTACACACCGGCCGTGCGTTGCGCTCTTGGGGTTGAAAACAATTGTTGCGACAATTTGTAAAGTGAGAATGATAGCTGTAGGAGAGCCTATTCCGATGGTGCCACAATATTGTCGACACTCACGCATTTGCTCGGAATTTGCCGGTTGGCTTGTCAGCAATGGCCTTGAAACTTCAGTAGCTAGATTAGTTATCGACGTGTGTGAGGCGAGGCTTCGACGCGAACAACTTTTTACATTGGCTGTTGCAATGGAGTCCGATGAAATACAATATGAGGTGCTTCTTCAAAACTTGAGACCGCTTTGTCCGGTTCGAGCAGTTCGGATAAGAATTAATATCGCTCTACCATGTATATGGAGATCTACGTCGGCAGATTTTGGTGTTGCTACATATCTAGTTCGAACCTTGCCCTGATCAGGACGTCTTGACGTCCGGGTTTAACGACACATCCAGTAGCTAATGCAATTTCACGTCGAAATATCTCACACCAATTTACGCAGGGCCGATGAAAATCCTCCCTGGAGCCAGGCACGAACCCCGCGTCTTAAGGTTGTGAGGCGAATGCTCTTCCGGCTGAGTTATGTCCGCTCCCCTCCCCACCGCCGTGATGGAGACACCGGGACGGTAAAAGAAAACCCCAGACACGGAGATATTCAACGTGGATCTCAATCCAGATCAATAGCAGCGTCATCTGGGCGAGCTCACCCTTTCACTCGTACCGCATTCCCGTGGGCTCCCTTTTAATCGGCGACGACATGATGCAGCCACGGCCGCCGGAGCCGCCCCCGTACCTGACGGAGCACGCAAATCTGACCTGACCTCCCGTACCTGCCTCACCGGAGCACGAGTACCTGACCTGACCCTGTTGCTCGGCCCACAGGTGTCTGACCCGACCTCCCGTACCTGCAGTACCAGAACACGCGTACCTGACCTGACCCTTTTCCTCGGCCCACAGGTGTCTGACCTGACCTCTCGTACCTACCGCACCGGAGCACGCGTACCTGACCTGACCCCTTTCCTCGGCGGACAGGTACGACGCCCGCGGTGAGCGGAGCGAGGCGGGCTCGCACTGGGACAGCGGCCTGCTGGGCCGCAGTCGGCTGGAGTTCGAGCCTCACAGCCGTCCGGCCACGCTGCGCATCTCGGCGCTGAACAAGTCAGACGGCGGGGTGTACCGCTGCAGGGTGGACTACCTGCACGCGCCCACCAGGAACTGGCGCGTCAACCTCACCGTTATAGGTGGGTCGACGGGGCATTGGCGGGTCAACGCCGCGGAGGGTGGGTCAGCCGCACTGCCGTAGGTGGGCCAGACGCTGACTCGTGGGTCAAGCTCGCCGTCTGAGGTGAGCCGGCTGGGAGCTGATAGGTCAGCCTCACCGGATTGAATGGGTCACGTGACCGGCAGGTGTGTAGTAATGATAAGGACGCTTTACCGCCTTAGGTGCGTTGGGGAGGGCATTCCCATGGAGTTGCCTCGGCAGGTGCTGTTAGGGAGTGATTGGCTAGCACAACCGTCTCACTTGGGTTGAAAACGTAGTTGATGATTGATCGGCTTGGTAATTGGCTACGTTACGGTCTTCAGTAGTTGTAATCACCATCAGCTGGTCAGTAATGGATCGGCCCCATGTATCGCAAATAAAACTCATTTTGTATTTTCCGCGCCATTTGCGATCGTGCTTGTTCTGAGACCGGAACGGCATTACCGTCGACTGCAAAAATACTGCAGATAACGTGCCGCTCACTTGTTTTGAGCCTTGGCTTGCAACTTTGCGGTGTCATTAGCCGTGAGCGAACTCGCATATCGAAGTATCTGCGAACGATGCCAATTTCACGCCTTAAGTCCGTGAGCTTGAATTCAGTTTCACTTATGGCGTATTCTGAAATGCTCAGGTCATATACGTATGCCATGGTGGTCGCGTCTCAGTATACAGCACATGCTAGTTCGGTGTATTTCTACGTGTAGGCGCATGCATACCTGTCCTTTCGATGACAAGTGCAGTAGGAAGGAGAGACCTCTATGGGTACGATTTTCTTTACCTTATGCGCCCGCTAACCGTGATGCTGTGCCGATACGCACTTAATACGTGCCTTGCCTATACCACTCCAAATCAGTTGTAAGTACTCGTTACTCACCCGCTAGAAGTTTTACAGAATTTGAGTTTTAATTGTGGAATAGTGTCACGAAAGTCTATAACCAGCTTATCCTTTTGTGTTCATAGGTGCATATTTAATAGATAATCAACTAACGCTAAAAAGGCACCCAAGCCGGATCAACATGCGGTTTCTCTTGACACCATAAACCTGTCATTTCGTATGTGTCTTACCCATAACTGCACCCTTGCCCGTAATTCCACACATTTTACACCCAAACGAGCCCGGCACTGATCCCTCATGGATGCCCCTCGCACCTGCGTTTACCCAACCCGCGGAGTTCTGTGGTGGAGACTTATTGAAGGAAATGGTAGCTCCTTTAGCTGTCCATTTATTACACTGAAGAGGTCATTAGAGTTTCACAGCCGAGAAACAGTTAGGCAACATTTCCTCCAAGCTCTAACCAGCAGAGTGGCAAGGCTTGTTATTTGGCTGACTTTGCGGTTGCCGGCAGCACCAGAAGCAAATTAATTAGCCAGATCTGGTGCAGACAAACAGTGAAGCCGGTGAATTTCTCTGAGGTCGCGCATTACGTCCGTCCGCTTCAAAAGCTGAGTTGGCTAAAGGGTCTGTCTTCGGATCTGCTCACCCATGGCGGGGTGGACTCGAGTCGCTTTCGGCTCTCGCTATCGGCCTTGACTGGGATGGGCCGCGCCCGGCGGCAGCGGCCGTGTTAAAGGTCACGTGGTCGCTAGGGGAAGTATGAACCGTGCGGCGCATTGCGGCGTGTTGCAGCACTTTAATCTCTCGCCACCAAAGTCAGCTGTTGATCTGGGGCTGCACGGCCCGATGGTAGGAGTCAGGGCTCAGGCCACAGTGAGTGTCCAGTAGCCAGCAAGGAGGGCCTTAATTCCATGAATCCATCTCTTCAAGGGTTTGGGGTAAGAACCTTAAAAAAAACACCATGTTAAGATCTAGTCCGTGCTGAGACACCTGTGCACCTATGTGGTATTTGCAATGCTTTTCGAGGCGTTCATGCTTCCAATAATCTTTGAGGGTAGATTAGCTGGCATAGAGTGGCTGGTGCAATGTACGAGGCTGGAGATTAAACAAAGTGACATTAGCCCTTCGGCCTGATCGGCTTGAAGTCCGTGTTTTTGACTAACGGCATCCAATATGACTATCAATTTGGTGCCATATGATCCACTAGACTTTGAATGGCACGTTCGGAAATGGAGGTATCGAATAAACACAGGTGTGCTCTTAGCTGCGATGGCTGCGTTGCAATGTATCAGTTGAACTCGATGTGAGACAGGATATCTTAATCCAGTACCGCTCTTTTTCTGTTGATGGGTTACTTGGCACAGTAAATCAATGTTTAGTCCGTTGTCTATTCATTTTTACTTAATGTGTGTTCTAAAGCTTACTCAGCTCCAAATGTGCTCATCCACCCGCATGCTTTACTACCCTGGCGACCCGTCCACCGACATTGCCCCAGATTGTGAGCTTGAAATTGTGAGCCATAACATCGCCAGCAAACGCATATGTTTCAGCAGCGCGGTCGAGGTCAGACCGCTATGAAAAGTTTCTGATTGGGGGTAATTGAGTTGGTCGCCTTGTCAGCAGCCTGACGTAGGGTACAGCTCTGTCCCGGTCGACCGCCGTCCCTGATCACAAGTCCAGCTAGTTGTGCCCAGACAACGTCCAGACAACGGTCAGCATCGTCCCGCAGTTAATGGTGCGTAAGAAAACAGGCTCATCTGTCGCACACCAATCAGCTACGCAGCCAGAACAAACCGTCGCATCATATAACCGAAATGGGCGAGGCCTGCCGTGCTCATCTGGGAGCGTTTCCCCCAAACATGGGCTGTTTGCTGGCAAGATATGCCGGCAAGATTCCGCGCAATTTATGTAGATCGTGACCTAGAAGCGCTGAGGAAAACTTGAAACGTCCTCCCTCTGAGCTGCGCTTGAATCGTCGTATGTGAACCGCGGCTTTTTCCATGTCTGAATGGTTATATGCTGAACGGCCGTGTTTGGCATGCATGGTCCAAAGACCGACAATCAGTGCCATAGGCGAACAAGATGGATACTGAAATGAAGGCGGACATGCGGAGTGGAACGCGGCAAGCGAAAAGATGAGCACACGAAGCGGAAGAGGAGAGAGGAGAAGGGGATGCAGGTGGACTGAAAAGGACAGAGTTGGAGGCTGGGGTAGTAAAAAGTGGAGATGGAAAATATCTAGCAGGAAAGAGAAGGTGGAATGAAAAGAGACCGACCGCATCGCGATGTGACAATACAGGACAAGGCAGGACGGGTATAAAGCAAAATTGCAACGGAAGGGAAACCTAGGCATTTATTGGGCATGGAGATAAATAAGGAGCGGGGCGCACTGACATAGACGTGGACGAATTCAGTAGTGTGTGCTTTGAAGAGAGCGAAGTAAATCCATGGTTAATGCGCTTATGTAGGCATCTATCTATCTATAGCTATATAATCTATCTATCTATTTGTCCAAGCACCTAGGCATCTATGAAAAGAGAGAGAGAGAGAGGAAGAGAGAGAGTGAGAGAGAGAGAGAAAGAAAGAGAGAGAGAGAGAGGGAGGGGGAGGGAGGGAGAGCGAGGCATATATATATATATATATATATATATATATGACTGCATGAAATATATAGATATAAATATATATATATATATATATATGTAATATATATATATATATATATATATATATATATATATTACATGCGGTCGACTGGCAGCTCCACGCCATCCATTCTATCCGTTACACATTCCACCTGCACAGCATAATGTCTGTGACCCCTGACATTCGTTGTACCGCCAACCTTCAGCCGGCGACCTGACCTCCACTGGGGATTGCGTTCCAGTGCCCCCTCGCCGGCTGGTCATCTTCGACGAGCTCGGCCGGCAGACGGTGGACGGCAGGATCGGCCCGTACCAGGAGGGCCCGACAGTGAACGTCACGTGCGTCGCCTTCGACGGTGAGCTGGTGGTGAATGCAGGCTGGGCTCAGGGGCGGCGGAGGCTAGGCTGCGATGAGTCGATTAAGCCGAGTGGCGACGGCATTGTGCAGAGGAACACGTCCTGCGCACAACCTTAAGGGCCGTTGGTAAGGGGAAAGTGCGGGTGCAGGAATGATGAGTGAGAGAGGGAGGGGAAGGAAGTTAGGGGGCGACAGCCACACCTGTCATGCGTGTGGCGATGGTTTCTCAAGCAAGTGGAAAGCACTTAAATGTGTGCCGCTTTTGCTGGATTTCTTGCTGACATCACTTAACCTGGAGCTTGGTCGCCGAACCAAGCTTGCCGCTGCCGTGGCCCCATTCCGTATCAGCCCCCGGCGAGATCCATTAGTTTATATTTGGAACGCGTCAGCAAGGATCTAACCGTACTACGTTTAGAGAAGCTGCCGCGATGGAAGGATGTGAACGGTATCTAGCAGCTTCATGGAGAGACATATGGGCATGTGGTCCACTATAACACCGCGGTAAATGAAATGCGAAGGCAATTCTGGGTTTCCTGGTAAGCCCTGCAGTGCCGATTCACTGGACATTTGTTTCCAACGACAGCTCTTGTAATAAGCGACTTGAAGCGCACATATCCAGGTCAGTTGACACGCTCTTAAAGACCATAAACTCAAAACAGCATCTGTAGTACGGTGTAATTGACCGCTTAGGTCGGCAGGCTGTCTTGTGCGTTCTAATAAGCGATATGCGATATCTAGTATAGCGATATAATAATATAATAATAAGTGATATCTAATAAGCGATATGCTGTTCTTAGAAAAGTGATGAGTGGCGAATACCAGGCCAATTCTTTTAATGTAATGCACAGCTAACATCTTTACGGCTTAGGCGGCCATCTGAGTACTAATGTGCAGCCGCATAATCAGCAAGTTCGCCGCGAACTTGATGCAATAAGTGGTGTGGAAACGAGATTAATTGCATGGAAACGCACGACATCCTGGCGCTTTTTACGGCGCAGTTAACTTAAAGGCTGGTTACCACCACCACAAAACTTCCTCAATGGTTTTCGTGCCGGCAGCTTGTCCCAAAAGCAGTGCTCAACCCCGCATGCGAACTCAAAACTACTTGCCACTCACATCGCCTGAGGCAGCAGACATAGCTCGGTGCGTTATCGGAGCCACGGCCTGACGCGCCGTCGCCAGTCGCCTTCCCCGCCTCACTCAACAATGCCCTGTGGGCTTGCGGCTGTTCCCTGAGTGTGCCATCGTTATCCGCTTCCTTTTACCTCCAGCGCATGACTTATTCAAGTGGGCGAGACGGGTTTGTCTGTCACCATCCTCGCAGAATGAGACCCCAAATAGGCCGGCTGACACGTGTGCCGCCGCCACCCGGCTGGCTCTCCGTCTGCTCACGTGACCTGGTGGGTGTCATCGCCACCCGGCTGGCTCGCCGCCCCCTAATGTGACCTGGTGGGTGTCGCCGCCAACCGGCTCCGCCCCCTAACATGACCTGGTGGGTGCCGCCACCACTCGGCTGGCTCTCCGCCCCCCCCCCCCCCCCCCCAACGTGACATAGTGGGTGTCGCCGTCACCCGGCTGGCTCACCGCCCGCTAACGTGACCTGGTGGTTGTTGCAGTCACCTGGCTGGCTCTCCGCCTCCTAATGTGACCTGGTGGGTGTCGCCGCCAACCGACTCTTCCGCCTAACGTGACCTGGTGGGTGCCGCCACTTCCCGACAGGCTCACCACCCCCTAACGTGACCTGGTGGAGGGACGGCTCGCGCTTGGGCGGCGGCTGGTACACGACGGCCGACGGCTCGTCACGCAGCGTGCTCTCGCTAGGCCCACTGACTCGCGCTGACCTCGGGTCACGGGTCACGTGCGCGGCCACCTTCCACGAGTCCAGCGAGCCCCGGCTGGCCAGCACGGTGGTCGACATGACGTGTGAGTGGCGCGCGCGGTCGGCCACCGCGCCGGTGTGGAGAGACTGAGCCCGGTGCGACTCTCCGATGAGGCGAATTGTGCCGCGTGGGGAACGCAACTCAGTGTTAGGGCAAGAAATAAATGTTACGAGCTCGTCGTTTGTCGCAAAACAGCCTCGGGGAATACGCATGGGCGCGTTTTAATTAAAGCTGTTTAAAAGGCAAGGAACATATATGGCTTGGACGGATTTCTTTTCACACATCCCGTGCGAAAAATGGCAGGCTTGCTGTCGGTGGCAAACAGAATAGTGCTGCATAGAGCGATGCGAATAATTCAGATTTCTCTTGCCAGTTGTGATGACTTAGCAGACCACCCAATAATTCAAAACATGTTAATGTTTTCGATAACGCTTGCACACATGCTCACCCCACACAAACACCTATTCACACACAAACACGTGCCCAGGCATAGGTAGACGCTCTCACATATAGGCTGTTGCCTATATGGTATGCTTGGTGTTTATCCCGTGCTGTGTCGGTGGCAAAATGTTATTCTCTGGAGAGTAATTGCAGTGCAGCCAGCCGTAAATTGCAAGCAGCCTGTTTTGCATCTAGGCCAGGGAACGCCTCCTGGAACAAAGCAAAGTCGGCCCGCAAAAAGAGCTGATGAAATGCGATCGAACGGCTACGGTTTTTGCTCTGGCGTCGACGCTGGGGACGGCACTGCAATTTTGGTCGGCGCTTTGTTTACTTTATGGAAACATCACTGATTGGGCTGTTGGGTGCCACGTGATTGACTTCTTCGAACGAAATTGGGATAACAGCCTAAAAGAAAGGTCACGAACGCTCTGGCAGACTGTGCCAGCTATTGGCTTAGCGGACGTGATGCATGTAAGTGAAGAAAAGCGTGTGGTTCATCATCTTGTCTGCTCATGGATAGTGAAGTAGAGACAGGCGGTTGCATGCGATCGTGCTGAGTTCTTTGTTGTGATTGCCAGCTGCCCTCTATCGATCGGTGACACATTGTTCAACGGACAAGTTCCGGGTGCGCCCAGGCAGTACATTATGATGATTACATGTTGTTTTACAGTCACCGATAGAAATGCCTGCAGAAGTAGCGTTGGTGGAAGCTTAAAATGTTAAATGTCGACATTTTCCCATCGTGTCGTGTCTTTCCATAAGTGCCCTTGGAACCTTGCTCATCTCGACCTTTCCATCCAAGTCCAGATCATGTCCAGCTCACTCCGCAACCAACGGTGCGTTGCGAAGCTTGTGAAGATTTCCCGCGAAGGACCGGACTTCGAGCCGCGCCCGCTCTGTGCCGCGCCTCTTCCAATGGCTGACTGACTGTCGTCTTGTTCCAGTGCCGCCCCTGAGTGCAGAGCTGGTCGGAGACAACCCTCCGCTGCCGGCCGGCGAGAGGGCCACAGCGACCTGTCGGGTCACGGGGTCACGACCTGAGCCAAAGTTCACCTGGTGGCTGGGAGGCCTGCGCCTGTCCGAGGCGACGCAGGTCACCGGCCGCGACCCCAACGTGACCACGTCTACCGTGACCTTCGTTCCCCAAGTCAAGGACGCTGGGCTGCCTCTGCGGTGTCGCGCGTTCAGTCCAGAGCTTAGAAGACGGGTGGCAGAGGATGTTCGGCAAATCACTGTGCACTGTGAGTAGCACTTCTGCGACTGAACACCGTACCCGCTGGTGCTTCGCAGCGACATTGAAATTGCGAGTATTTTTGCAAGTAGTTTTCAACCAGGCGTGTACAAGCGGCTAACAAATTTTGTGGCGTTCAGTTTTTTTCTGAAGACGACATAGGTTTGATAAGTACTGCTGTCAAGCTTTTTCGTGGGTTTCAGTGAAGTTCGATGGCATTTTGCAATACAGCTAAAGCATCTAGTGATCCATTTCTTTCAGCAAGATATCCATCGTTTGGTTAGCTTTTAAAATTTGATTATCTTGTGGGACGCATTGATGAAATGCTGAGATTGCTCAGATCGGGATTTTTAATTATTCATTCGGCATTTAAACGCGGACTGTTCCTAATAGCTCGTGTTTCATGGGCGAGGATTTGGTTTTTACAAGAAATGTTTTATTTCACGGTATGCCAAAAGGTACCTGTCGTGGGCATTCACGAGTGCATCTGATTAAAACACTCGGAGTGCAAAAATGCTACCATGCCCATCGTGAACGAAACACGATTCCCCTGTGTTCATCTGTGGGGATCTATTCACCAAAGCCTTACCTGTTTCACGATGTCTTGTTGTCATTCGTGCCGCTTCCCAACGCCTCAAACATACCACGGTGGCCAGTCCGCACCGCATTGGTCTGTTAACGCTGCGCCAGACGCGCCGATCGTTACGCTGAACTACTGGCCGAGGGACAACAACTCGGCCGGCAGCACCGTCCACATGCGCTGCAACATCAGCGCCAACCCGCCCGTGACCAACATCACCTGGAGGCACAACGTGAGAGTTGGCTGCCGGCTGAGGCGTGGGGGGAGGGGGGGGGGGCGATGACACCGGCCGGTGGGTAGAATGGGGCCGGTGGGTGGACGGGGCCGGTGGGTGGACCGAGGTCGGTGGGTGAACTGAGGCCGATGGATGGACTGAGGCCGGTGGGTGGACCGAGGTCGGTGGGTGGGCCGAGGTCGTTGGATGGACTGAGGACAGTGGGTGGACTGAGGTCGGTGGGTGGACCGAGGTTGGTGGGTGAACCGAGTTTGGTGGGTGGACTGAGGCCGGTGGGTGGACTGAGGTGGACAGACATTCGATGCTCGTAGAGGGTTTGCGCGGGTACCTTTACAAGCTCACTGTTTTGTTGTTGTTGATTGGTGTTTTAGGGCGCGCCGACTGCGGTGGTCATTTGGCGCCCTTCAATGTTTGTTCAACGCGGCAAGTGGTCGGTTGTGTCTTGGTCTCGTCGCCGTGGAAAGAAATCTTGGTGATGTTTGCACAAGTGTTACTTGCTTCCTTGCGCGCGTGTTATTGCGCTGTTCGAGATGGGGGCAAGGGGCAGTGCCCGTACCAAGGTAACTTGCAGACAGTATTGCCAGATTTGTAAGATTGTTTTAAGATTGGCAGATTGTTCACAGATAGGTGAACGGTACGGCGGTTTGGCATAGTCTGCGAATTACGTTTCATACCAGGCCCTCCCTGAAAATAGGTCTGAAAATGCAATTTTTCATTTGGTCCACTGAAGCCTATCGTAGTAGCATGTACTCTTCACGGCAGTAATTTAGGACAGATTTGTATATGATTAATATGCCTTTGAGATGTTTCGGTGCATGTAGAGTTTCGTTCCTTTGGTGACCCCTTGTTTCATGGTGCGACATGCTTTTTCCACGTCGTTTCAGCATCTGGTAAATGGATTAGAGCATGTGCATTCTGGTTGTTAGACTTTTTAGAAGTCTTCAACTCGACCTCTGTCACCACACCGATGAGGGCACAAGTGACTTGAAACGCCTTTGAATCACCTTAAAAATCGTCTGACCACTTTTGGACCATGATCCACCGTGTAGCCTTAATATGGAACCAAGTGAGGTTGGTACCAATTATAATGATTAAATCTTCCCTAACAGTCACTCAACAGCTGCTAGGATTGAAGTCGACCCACCGAAGTAGCGTCAAATGTGTTCCTATATCACCGCAGAACCTACTGGTACCTACCAGCAGTCACAAGTTGACACTCCGGTCACTTGGGGACTTGCTTTCTCTTCGGTTCGGCTGCCTCGTGTACAACAGTCAAATCGGAAGACAGCATCAGAGTCAGCTATCTTTAAATAAATATCTTAGAGATCGCATTGAATAAGTGAAAGGCTGTGCCAATAAATGAAATGATGGTCCAACATACAACGCTGTTAACACTTCTTTTGTCACTTGAAGTTATCCAGGCGTTAGGCGATACTGTCGGGTCAAAATGTTATGTCAGGTCAAGGTCGTTGCAGTTCTGACCCATACGGAAATTTCTACACTTGATCGACCTGACATTTGCGCTACTAAGGCGAAGTATGGAAGATGCTATCAGTTATAACAATTAGAAGCTAAGTTATGCAAGTTTCTCTGGTGCCCAGGTTTAATTACGTGACACTCGCCCGGGTCGCTGGTTGGACACCCTTCCCTCTGATCTTTTGGTGTTGTACGTAAAGAAAAGAGTACTTACTCACATGGACAACCATTGTGTGACCACAAAGCACCTGCCTTTAACCTAGGTTATTACCTACCTCTACGGGTGTCTCCTGCGAAACATATCATTAGCTTAAAATTGGCAGTTCTGAGTGGTTAGTTTGGGCGCACAATTCGAATGTTCCACTGACAACATGTTATTATGCCATTCTAATGCATATTGAGGTCACAATAGGTCGCGTGAGAAAATGGAATGTCGTATGAGGTCATCTCAGGCCAATTACCTATGCTGTCTACAGCGGAGGGCTAGATGAGAGTGCGACACGTGTTACCACCTCGTGTTTTTGAACAAGATGGCGGATAATTGCATGTACCAACGTGCCTGTTCTCAGTGCATTACAAATACATTGCCAAAGGTCTAAGAGACTATGCATAAGGTATAAATGCCATGCTATCTTGAATGCGTGTAGATGTGCAACATACTATTTCTGACCACAGAAAAACATAATTCTGATCACTTACATCCGGCTTGCATTTAACTGAGTCTAGTTATTTAGTTAACTTAGTGTAGCGCAAGGCCAATTTTTGTTTCTTGGATACCTTTGTCCCACGGCTACATTTAATAAAATAAACTTGTAAGCACATTGTGAAAGAACATAAGGCCGCATCGCTCTTGTAGGCTCCTGGTAAACCAATTTTGAACGATGACCTGACCTGAGCTGACTCTTGTGGGGTAACAAAAGTGGTAGGAATGGACTCCCCACGGTCCTGACGCTTACTTCTGTGCCCTTGATATCCATCTTGACGTGTCAACGCGTGTTTTGACCAAAGGTCAAATATTTGGTGTGAAGGTCAGATATTTGGTGTGCATTCATGAGTTGATCAGGCACTCACCGCGGCATCTTTCTTTTTTCGTACGGCGTCTGAAAGGTGGACATCCTGTTCGGGGGGGGGGGGGGGGGGGGGGGGGGAGGAAATCAACCGCCTCCCCCGGCCGGGCGCGGTCGTTGCAGGTCCCCAGCCGGGCACAGGTTAATGCTGCACTACCGCGCTGGACACTGCCGCGTTTCTGGTTTCCAGTACAATATTTGTGTTATCGGAGCCAGCCAACTGCTATAACCTGACCTACAGCGTCGTTTATTACCCTTAATTGAACACAATTTAAAAGGGCTTGATAAAAGTGCTGGAGCTACCCATTGCGCCACGTAATTGTTCATTGGCCGCTAAGATAGAAAAGACGGTAGTCCTCCCCCCCCCCCCCATAAGTTGTGTGTTAAAGCACTCTCAGTGGAAACCATGTCAAGAATTACACGTTGCAAGACACCTCTTTGAATTAAGTCAACTGTATGGAGTGAACTCCGTCGCCGTGTGCCCGGTAAATAGTGCTTCGGATCAGTCCAGGCGCTCGGTAAGTTCGCTGTGCAGGCTTCTGATGCGGCGCTCCACAGCTGCGTGGCACTCTGCTTCCCGTTGACCTCTGCCCCTAATGAGCTTGCCGAACTTCTTGCGCGTCGTTTGTCCCGGAGCGCGCTTGACTCCAGCCGTCGGTGCCCCAGGGGGCGGCGGTGCGGCGGCGGTCGGCGGTGGGAGTGTTCGTCAGAAACGACACGGAGGTGGGAGTGTTCGTCAGAAACGACACGCTCCTGCTGCGTCCTCTGGAGGTGCGGGGCGGAGGCATCTACTCGTGCTCGGCCACCAACAGACAGGGCTCCGTCACGAGCAACGCCATCAGTCTCCAGGTTCACCGTGAGTGCTCCGAGTAGGGTCAACGTCAGGCATGAGAGTCAGAGGATGAACTGTGCGACTGGAACACTAGGCACGGCTGAAGGGCCTCAGGTTATTCACGGGTACGCCGTGAGCGCCAAGTATTCGAAGGCTGGGTGTAAATGTACGGAGTGCTCGGATGCTCAATGTGGGTGCCAATTTCCCAGGCGTCAGCCGTCAGTCCTCTCGCGCTTGGCTAGATTGCCTTGGGGCCAGGCGTAACTGGCGCGAACAGTAAAGCCTTTTTTAGATATATCTACATGTGACATGAATTTGCTTCCACCTTTTCTTAACTGAATGTGAACATGTAGGTGAAATAATGCAACCGATTTAGATAAATGATAAATATCACGTCATAAAAAGAAGAAAGAAGGCAATAGCCTTATTCCTCGTAGAATATCTCGGAGAATGTCCAGATAGATGTATTGATATTTCGGCTATATGTCTTTATCGAAATGAATATCAGTAATGTAGCCGAAATATCAACACATCGATCTTTTCATTCTTCTGGTTATTCTGCAGGGAATTGGGCTACTACTTCTGTCTTTTTTTCAGCAAGATATCATTTGAATGGTAACCAACAAAACATCGTCATATGACAGAATTGAGCATGTCATGAAATCACGAGAAACATTTGTTCTTGTCTCTGAATGACCATGCGGGCTAGGCAGCAGATGGTTTAGCTTCATCTACATCGCTACTCAATGCCGTAAAATGATAACATAAGTGTTTAGTTGGAGGCATGCGAGCAACAGCAAGCTTTTTTCGCAAGCATTAGATGTCGTGCTTGAAGTTGATGATCTCATAAGCCAGATCTTATGTCATGCGGGCTACCGTAATTCAGATGTGTTGGCGGGACTTCTCTGGAAGTGTAAGCCACTCGGAGGGCGTGCGGCCGTCTGGTATGCATACCTTCTTTTTACGAATATGCTATTCTTACAATATTTGCTGGACCTGTAGCGATTTTGTACACGGGATACGCCGCATAATGGCTGCGCGGGATCATTAACCAAACCGCAGACGTAGACCTATGGACATAGTTGAGCATTCATATAGCAGTGGTGTGCACACTGCGTACGCGCCAAGTAGAGCGCAGGAGCCTCCTTATCCTTCAACACCCACTTTCGACAGCCGCCACTCCCTATCCTAACATAACGCCGGCGCGTCCTCACTCTCGCGTCCTGCACCAGTCACCTTCGTCTTCTTCCGCGCGAGTCTTCTCCTCAGCTGTCACCTGATGTGTGACCGACGCCAGCCCCGGCAGCGTGATCACCACTTGTGAAGCGAACTTGAGCGCAATCTGACTCAATTACCGAACAACCCAGTGGCCGTCTGTGTCCGCGTCCTGGTGCCGATCTCATCAGCGTCAGCCGCCCTTCAGCCCGGCGCCGACGCCCTCTCATGGCGGCGGCGCGCGTTCCAGACCGGCCGGTCTGCCGGCCGCCGCGGCGCCGGCCGCTCGAGACGGCGCGCTGGGCGACGCTGAACGTGACCTGCGGGGTCAGCGGTCACCCGCAGCCCACTCGCTTCCGCTGGAGCCTCGTCAGCGCCGGTGAGCGGCCAGCGGCCCACGCGCGGGGTCAGGGTCAGGGTACGCCGCGGCTGGCTGTACGGGGTCACCTACGGGGAGGAGACGTGTGCATGACTCTCACCGGTGGTGCGGTGGACTTCGCACATTTACTAGCGTGTCGTATGGGCTTGATTCAGAACAAACCTTCCCGATTCCACACCCGACGTGCACGCGCCAGGTAAAAACTAACCAATGACAGGATGGTTCGGCATGACCTCTGCAAGCTCTACGCAGGCCACTTTCGGCTACTTGTTATGCTTGACTTGTCAGCGATGGTCAGATGAGGTGATGAGGTGCGGAGTTCGCGTACGCGCCCTCTGCGTGGCTTGTCATGTGCCCGCACAGTGAAACGGACTAAAGTCAGAGCATGCCGCCAACCTTGGTGGATATCTAATGCACTATCCGCGTGTGTGTTGATGGTAGGCATTTGTGATGCGGAGAGGCCCCACTAACACTATTTATGGGCAGGCTCAAAGATGCACCGGCTGCAATTTACAAATGTCGAGGTGTTATTGATGCTCATTGTGACCACTTTGCACAATGAACACCCCGATACGCAACAAAAGTGGTAGTGGCGGCGTCAAGAGTGCATCGCAAAGCGGGGTTTCGTGGCTTTCGGCAGGCAGACCGCTTAAAACGAGCTCATAGGTCGCTAATGTGACATGTTGAGAGGCCATAAATATGAAATCCGGTCCAAAGGTAATATACACGGCTGTCTTAACCCGTGGTCATCTTGCCGATACGAAGGGGAAAAGAAAAGAAGGGCTCCGAGTTTCGAGAATAAGCTTGCAACCACGCAAGATAGGTCCACCAAATTTTCGATGCCTAACAGGGGACCAGCTTCTTACATTCTGCAGCAAAGACGTATGTATGTGTGGGGGGGGGAGGCTCCCAATTTTCCCAAACAGGCTCCCCAATTTTCAAAACAAATTGTCTTTTTCAATTTTGGCGTTCAAACTGCATACTTTTGACGTTTTCCAATTTATCGACCCCTCTAAAGTTACACGCATCACTTAACGAGTGCTCAGGCGAAGATCAAGTTGCCCCCCCCCCCAACCAATTTTTCGGGGCGCGGTATTCCACCTACTACGTGGGCGCGTGTTAACATGAGCCCAGGATGGACTCAATTTGACACCCTTATTTAAGGGCCGCATAGCCTTTAATAGCTGTTCGTGCAGTTCAAAACTGAAGATAGCTACAGAGCTGTGAAAATTCAAGCTCATCGCCCTTGTATTGGTCAAATTCGGGTCATAATTGCCAGTGAAGGCAATTCTTAGGGCAGTTTTCAAACTTATGGAACAGAAGAGTTTCAGAACTTTGATCTTGCTTGCGGCTATTATACAATTCAAATCAGGACTACAACTAAGTTTGTTGACCATTGATTAGCCATTAAGGTGGGATCGATATCAAACTATAACACTTTTTAGACCGAAAACATCATTGTATGGGATGGTGCATGAGTTTTTTCCCAAATTTATTGATCAAAAGCGCATGAACATATGCCTGATGTGTAATTTTGAAAGTCAAGGAACGTCACTGACCTAACATGACTTCCGGAAATGATTCAGGGCTTGACCTTGTTACACCTATGTTGACCCGAAGATCATAACGTAGAGAAAAAAAAACACCAACAAGGTCACATGGAGTCCTACCTACTCGGCGAATTTTGCGTGTACTCACATTTCATATATTAGGGGCCAATTTGCCACAAACCCCAAATTCCATACGAGCGCTTTGCATTCAACCACCAGCCGGGCGCGTGTTAACGGTGATTTGCTTGATGCATAGATTGTCTCTTATTTTATTTCCTTTAAAGGGAATATCTCACATTTGAACGTATTGAAGAATGCATCATATATAATGGCATAATCTCGTTCGAAACTATTGGTATACTTTTAGATAAAGGCTGCCCCAGACAACACTGTTTTTTGTCTGATAAATATGCTCCTTAATACGTCATTGCTTGATCGTACGTCACCACGTCATCGTACCTTCCACAACATTGCTTGAGAGCCAGCTGACAGCTGTTATATCTGGAAATTGTGCTCACGAACGCCAAATATGAACGACTCGGCAATGACATTGTTCTTAGATTTGATCGCCGCCCGGCCAACGGAGTGACAAAATTTGAATGGCCTTATTAAGACGTCATGGGTGCCTGGGCGACCCTTCAATAGTCTCGCCGACATTTCCGTGCATTTTTGCGGGCGTGTAGCAGTTCAAAACCCCATACAGATGCGAAACATTTTCCCCTTAAAACGGATGCACACAATCCACGGTAATTGTTTGTGTGCTGGTTCTTTGCAACCGAGACATTCACATGCCACATCGTTATCTAAATCTTGCTGGAATGCAAATAATGTGAAAGTGCGGGGTTGACGACGAAGATAATACACAGCCGTTTTTTTTGTCAGTTATTTGTCTAGCCGAAGCAAGGTTTGTGCAATATGAGATGCGTGTTTTTGTTTGCACGAAATCAAGCATGCGACACAAAACATGTCTCTGCACTAACACATGGCACGGATCTCCCCTTCCTCAGGTACCACCACCCCCCTGAACCACAGCGACCACATGATAAACGCCGATGTCCTGAGCTACTACCTCCAGTCCGACCTCAGCCATGGTGCCCTGCTCTGCTGGGCGACAAACGCGCTGGGCGAGCAGCTGGAACCGTGCCGATACGATATATCCCAGGCAGGTGGGTGATGACGGAGCCGACTCACTGGACCCTGATGGCAGGCTACAGACGCCTCTTGAATTTGAACTCAGAGGTGTTGCTTGGTCGAGCTGTGATTCGCCGCCTGTGCGTTCTGAAATGTTTTTAGAAGGCGAGAACAACTGGGGCACTCCCAATGAAAAGCTACTTTGTTCGTTTGTCGATGGCTTCTGCCCGTGTCTGCCACCTAACATGCCATTCTGTCTCTCCGCCCCTCTGTGTGGCAGACGTCCCGGAAACGCCCTCCTCGTGTGACGTCACGAATCGCTCGTCTGAAAGTCTGCACGTGCAGTGCGTGCAGGGTTTCGACGGGGGCCTGAGGCAGACGTTCCGTCTGGAGGCATTCGTCGCGTCAGATCGCCACCATCAGGTCATCGCTGTGAGCTCCATCAGTCCCAGGTTAGCCATCAGTTCCAGGTCAGTCCTTCAGTTCCAGGTCAGTCCATCAGTTCCAGGCCTGTGCATCAGTGACAGGTCGGTACGGCGGTCCAAGGCCAGCGCGCGGTCTCAGGTTATAAATTCCTGCCAGGCTTTTGTCCGGGCGTCTTTTAAACTGTGCCAAGAAGTGCCGGGCGCACAAATAAAGAAATAACCGATTGGGACGTTTCAGCCAACTACGCCAGAACAAGTTTGCGCGTTCCAAGACTTGAGGGTAGAAATAGCGAGTGTCTGTATTGCTTAGTGGCCCTCCTACATTTTAAAATGGCGAGTCTTTCATTCACCATCATCCGATATTTATCTGCTCGGCGAGTATGATACACTGAACTACGTCGTTCCAAGTACTTCAATCAGAGGTTATTTAAAGGATCATGTGGAGCAAACCAGAGTTTCCGCACGACTCTCCGGCAACATTGGCTGCATGCTCACAGAGTGATTTTAGACTGACTTTCAATGAGCCGAATCCGGCGGCAAGGTTTGCCTGTCAGTTCGATAGCCCACCAGAGTTAACACGACGCGACACGTCTCGACTTCAAATCTTAGTAAGACTCGTGTGAATGCATGTCACCCAGCAGCGTTAGTCGAAGGTCTCGTCTATATTCTTGAGCGCAGAGCTACCCTCCGCTTTCATTGAATTTTAACACGACTCCTGTCTAGGCCACTGCGTTGCAAGAACTGCCAGACAACCCTGTTGCATCACAGGCTGATTTTCAGAAATATCCACCTCCGCCCAGCGGGGGGGGGTGAAGGGGGGGGGGGGTGAAGGCGTGACACCCCACCCGGGCGCGGTCATATTGTTTCCGGCTGACCGACCAATCGCTCTGGACTCCGCGGCGCGCGCCCAATCAATATCGCTCTGTTTGGCAGGACACGCACGTTCGTTATCAGTGTGGGGGTTCGGAGAGCTGGGAGGCGTCGTTTCCAATTATTTCGAGCCAAACCACAGGTGTGCCACCGCCGAAGAGCTGAGTCTGTCGTTCCGCCGGGCAAGTCTCTTGGCCGCGCCGAAGCATTGCACGCGCGCCTGTGGAGCCGTGACAGAAGTGGAATGTGCCACCCGCTTGGCGTCCGAACAGGGGCGACTCCCAGCGGAACGACCGTGGGGACAGAGTGCTGCTGGGCTTGGGTCGGGCTGGGCCACGACAGCGTTGGTGACCCAACACCGGTCTAATGAGTACCCGTCGAATGTCTCAATGGACATGCCTCATGAGCAACTAGCGAGGCTGCTTCACGGAACCCTTTTGAAAACCCGCGCCCGTGAGAGCCCGCCAGTAGTCTGGTCAGGCGACACAGGACCACGCCGTGTTAGTGACCAGCAAGCGGGGGTTTGTGCCGTGCTGGTGGCCAGCGAGTGTGATCTGATGCCATGATGACAGCGTCTTACTTCTAAAATCGATGTAGGGTGAGACCCAAACAGCATCAAAAGGTTGGCGCGATCCATTCCGCAGACACTGGAAAGTAGAAATTGTCATGGGTACCCTGTCCACCGCATCCGCCGGCCCTATCACTGAGGGCCTTAATACAGTTTGACAGGCGACGCCCAGTTTCGTCTAATTCGCTGTTACGCCGCGTCTAGTGCTCTGGAAAGCGCGGTGAGGCTTACGTAGACTATGCTTGATACGTTCGAATCGATTAGACACGTCACACATCAACACGTCACATGCCACACGGTCACACGACACACGCGCACACGTCACACGTCCGCAGGTCACATGTTCACACGTCACACGTACGCAGGTCACATATTCACACGTTACACGTCCGCAGGTCACACGTTCACATATCACACGTCACAGTTCACATATCCACACGTCCACACGTCACACGTTCGCACGTCACATGTCGCATTTCACACATCCGCAAGTCACACGTCCACAGTTCACACATCCACACGTCCGCAGGTCACACGTTCGCACGTCACACATCCATACGTCATACGTTTGTAGTTTACACGTCCACGCATCCACACGTCACACGTCCACCGGTCACACGTTCACACGTCACACGTCCACATGCCATACGTCCGCACATTCACACGTCACACGCCACGCTCACGGTTCGCAAAATCGTGCAGTCGGCACGTTCTTAAACAGTGATGTGTTACTGTACGTGTGTGATTTAGTGTTCCAATGGTTATTCATGGATGCTCTCCTCACTAACACGGCACGCGTATTTGGGAAGACGGAAAGGGCCTAATCAACTAATCTCACATCGTTCGCCTGCTTTGATCACTTAAAAGTCACTTACATGGACGTCAATGCGTGCGCCTCCTGCTGTTTGATGTGCTGTTCGCGCTGTTTACGATGCGGTTTCACGTGAGATGTGTGATGCTCCTTACCGCTCGCCCGTAACCTGCTCAGCTTTCGAATAACGTCTTGGCTACGACGCCGGGTTCGCGGTGAAGGTAGGGAAGGCGCCCACCCCGCGAGAGCTCAGGGCCGGACGGCAAATGACGGGTGAAATTAATATTGCGGTCGTCCAGCTCATCGAGTTAGATAAATGGCACCCAAGTCTAGAATAAGCCAAGATAATGAAACAGATGCTTTCCTTCTCGCAGCTGATCGCGGTTGATGGAGAACAGTTGACACAGTTGACAGTTGACGGCACCCACTTTTGAAGGGCTCGTTTTGTGTCGCCAACTCGTGACTCTTTTCACGTCGGCCGACAGTTTCGTGGTGCGAGGCCTCGTTCCGGATCGGCCGTACACCGTACACGTGTACGCGCTCAACACACGTGGCGTCAGTCCAGCGGCGACAGTCCTGGCGCAGACTCTACCGTCAGACGACGAACATGACGCGGACACACGTACGTGCCCGCGCTCAGGGCCGCCGCCGCAGCAGCTGCGGTGCTGGGAGCTAGCTGGCCGCGCTCAGTAAGCTTACCGTAACGACTCTCTACTGGGTCCGCCGTGAAGGCCCTGTCATTTTGTTTTCAGGCTGCTGAAGAGTTAGATAAGATCATCACGCCTTCGGCGTCTGTTACTGGACCTCATCGCCGTTTGTTATTCTGACCGCCGTGGACGGAGGCACGTGCTCTCTTAAAGCTCATGGCTAATCCCCAAATACACGTCGTTCTGAGCTCGGTCTCATCTGGCATCACCCTGGCATCGCATGGGTTACCATAGCGATGGCGGTTCTCTGGGATGAGAGCTACGTGACTTCACCTGACCTGGCCATCTCATGGACAATGATCTGCCGTGCGCCTGTTGGGTGTTGTGGCACGACCTGACCTGACCTGACCTGATCTGGCTGGCAGTGTCACCGTCCGCCCTCTTGCCTGCGGCGGGCCTGCTGGCTCTGCTGTTCGGTGTTGCGGTCGCCGTTGTACTGGTGACCGCCGCGGTCGTTGCCACCAGACGCTGTAGGAAAACGCCTCCCATCAAGGTAAGACTGTTGCCTTAAACTGCACATTCCCAGCTCCCAAAGTGGTAATACATGGTAACGTCATGTGACCGTCCTGTTCCCAGCAACGTATCGTGGGCAGTGGCACCAGGCACCTTTCGACTGCTGCTTAAGACGACGGTAACATTTTGAAGTTTGGGATGCGCATGGGTGCGATCGCTTACTTTTCCAATCACACATCGCATAGCAAACAGCCGATTAGCACAGTCGCAAAACCCGGCTTTGTTGCCAGCGGATTCCAGGCATTCTCCGCGCTCACATGTTCGGAGAACTTAGTACAGTCGGAAACGAATTCAAGACTTTGGACTCATTTGTAGGCCGGTCACAGGCTCCCTTTTGGCAGGTGATCCAACACAGCATTGTTGAACTGGTGTTCAACTGTGGAATGGAGCTCGGGTCCCACGAGGCAGCTGTGTTGAAATACTTGTCAGCCGCGTTTGGTTCTTCGGAGGTGTAGAAGGTGTCGAATATATGAAATTGGCCGCTAAATTTACTCCCAAGTTGTATGTCGAATTGTGCAAGCTGTCCGACAACGCAACTATGCGGCTGTGCTTCCCTCGCGAGAGGCGGCGGTAAATGAAATTAACTTGTACCTCTCTGAGAACCATAGCCACACCGACCTCAGCCACCAAGCTTAATTGTTGGTAATTTTGAAGAAGTGCGTCGAAGTTCCTTGCTCTGGGCGAAGTCAGGCAGGGGTTTTGCAAAAACATGTCTCGGGCAAGTTTGCCGTCCGTTGTGTGCCCGCTTACAAGTCTTGTTCAGCCAGAACTTCACATCGACGTGTTTTGTCTTCCATCGCCCGCGAGCTAACCAGCTTTAAAACGCAGCTCATGCTCAGAACATCGATCTTGATGTGCGTCCAATGCTTTCGCCTGTCGGTTGACCCGCCTGCTCTTGCAGGAGAGCCAGCAGGAGCTGTCGCACGCGATGACCAACTCGAACGGAACGGCGAGCGCGGATGACCGCCATGGTCCGGATCTGATCCGCCCCACCAACACAGGTACGCCTCTCCAGGCGGTCCCTGAGTAGCCGGCAGCCGCACTGCACACCCGCTCACGCCTCGCGGACGGGCTGTAGAATCCGCTGCAGATTCTGCAGTCGTCAGCTGTTGCGGACTAGAGGTGCCGCATTTAAGCCCGCAGGCCCGCAAAGCGCGCGCAGACGGGGCTTTTAAGTGGTACTCCTGCGTTCCACATCACCTAACGACTGCGGAAACTTCTGGGGATTTTGCAGACTTAGGCTGTTGTGGACTAGGGATACCACTTTTGAGAGGTTCTTTTAAGTCGCGCTTTACAGTTTTCCGGGCGTACTGTGTGATACCTTCAGTCCGCAACAACTGACGACTGCAGAACGTGCAGCGGATTATGCAGTCAGTCTGCCATGCGTGAACAGGCATCAAACGTGCAATGATTGTCTCTCCAAAATGGGCGTTTTTCACAGTGACACAAAGCGCATGCAAATCATCGTATCACACAGAACGGCCACAACGGTCACCGAACTGCCACACGGTCTCATCACGCGTCACAGACAAAAAAGCGTTCCACACCCACCACGTAGTGTGCGTAGTCAGTCTTCAAGCAATGCGTTCTGCCACTGACAGCTCGACACTTGACCAGCTCGACCAATGTGTCTCCAACAAGCAGCTCTGCTTCGATATCGGCCAACGCGCGTGCAGCACGTGCGCGGACATATCGACGTCGGGGTCGGCGTGCCCGCCCCGCGTCGGCGGTCCTTCCGCTCAGACCCGCCCCCTGCTCCAGGGCGGGGCGGGCGGCGGAGCGTGCCCTGCACCGCGACGGTCGACCGGCTCGATCCCGAGGAGAAGCACATGCTGGAGCGGCTGCGGCCGGGCCGGTTTCCGCCGCCGCCGCACAGGTTCGACGACCCGCCGCCAGGGGCGCTGACGTGCAGCCTGCCGCGCCAGCCCCGGCCGCAGCTGGCTCGGCCCGAGGCGCGCTTCAGCCGAGCGCAGAGCGTAATCGCGCCTGGCGCCGGGGATCAGAGGGCCATGGTAAGTGGTGGGGTGGCCGCGCGGGGGACCAGGAGTCTCGAGGAGAGCAGGGCGGCATGGCGAACAGGCCTGGGTTTGATTCAGGGGATCCGTGCGCGAGTCCAAGTCTGGGCGTCTTGAGTGTGAGTGCGGGTCTCGAGTCGCCCTTGTCGCCTGACGTGAGTCCGAGTTCGAGACCATTCGTTGCACGGCTCTTGACTCAGACTCAGGGTTGGATTAACTTGAGATTGAGTCCGTGGCCAAGTCGTAAAGTATTTAGTTGCAACGTATCGATCCATGAACGGTGACACAGGAGAAGCCCCCCCCCCCCCCCGCCCCGAGGTTTTGGAACTAGCTTTCAAGCAGCGCAAGCAAATTCCAAGAAATTTACACTACGTATCAAGCAATTAGTTTGACATGCTCTGGGGAAACTGTGGCGTTAGGTTTGGCTACTGGGTTATGGACTGATTTGACGTCATTCATTGACTGATCTACTGTCTGCCTGTTATCATTTGTCACATAAAATGAGGTTACATCAAGTCGTCATAGGTGTCATGTGAGTTAAACTTATAGCTGCCGAACAAAGTGCATTTTATGCCAGCGATGGATGTATCGATGTAATTAGCCATTTTCTAGATAATGACTTGTGCCGTGCCAACTGTAAGAATAAAAACAGCATGCCAGATGAGGCGACCTGCCCTTGACCTGCTAAGACCTGAAGTGACCTGACGTTGGTATTGTATCTTTTTTAGCACTGTGGTCATGACTCAGAAGTGCAAAAATGCGCTTATAACTATGGTGCCTGTTCCAATCTCAAATGGGTGTTATTACATGAACCAGGGCCACTGAAATTGTTCGAAGATTAGTTTGAGATATTTCGCGCGACTTGTGACGTCATTAGTCTGGTGACAGATGATAACTCGACGGTTCCTGGCAGCGCTATTGATTTCCGTTTAAATTTCCTCCAATCTGACAACTAGATCCTGAGATTCCTGGCAAGGAGGGATGCTTTTAGCCCGCCGCTACCAGACGGTTGCGGGTGGCCAACCACCTGAGCGTGATTCCGGGTTATCGTTTTTTTGTAATGGAGAAGTCAGGTACTTTTCATCGGTAAAATGGACAGATCACCTGATTCGGAGTCCCACCAGGTCATGAGTCGGAGCCAGAGTCCGGCGGGACTCAGAACCCAACGCCCGATGGTCAGCAACAGTGCTGTCGGCCTAGCGTGGTCTTCGGCTGACGTACCTAGCACCGAACCGTCTTGAAGAAAATGTCTGTCGTTTTACTGATATGTACAGGACGGTGTGTGTGGCTGTAGAACATGGGCGTAGGTGTTCCCTGGCCCAAAACTTATGCCGCTCACGATACTCGCGTTACGGTATCACTGGTCATTCAGGCTGAGTGGTATCGCAATGCCAAGAGATCGAAATTGCAAAATCGCATTTTTTGGTCCGAGCTACAACTTTCCCATTGCATGTTGCGTAGCAAACATGCGGCAAAGCGACCAGTTCGATCCAAGTGCATGACCAGAAGACGCTGTACTAATACGCCGCTACTAATACGCTGCTTAGCGTATTAGTAGCATCCTCGGTTGTTGTTAGATGCTCTACGAATGTGAGTGACCTGGGAAATAGTCAGACAGTTTCTCGGCTCTACTGTCGTTTCTAAAGTTTTTATGGGCAAAACTTACTTGCTTTATGATTTTACAAGCTGGCGAGATGGGTTTAGTGGGCACTTAGCGAGTGACCGTTTTAACCCGCTCGAATGCTTTGATATTGCAATATGAAAGCTTACTTTCACCGGTATCACGTTATCTGCAATGAAGGCACCGTCGTCTAGAGTGAGTTCAGGTTGGTGACACGATCACTTGTTGGGTCGGCCAGCCAGCTGCCAGCTAGCTTCGTAAATACGTGCTTGCGGAGTGTCACTGGATGACATCACACGAACCAAGTGTAGGGTGAAGGATAGTATGGTATTGACATACCAGTCGGAGTAAGTAGGTATTCCTTGCCCTTTATGTGGAATCTTCAATGAGGTGGCATGCGTGCTGCGGATTACAAGGGAACGGTCGGAACCTCGATCTCGCGGCGCTGTGATTTGAATTCCATCCGAGCTTTGCGCAGAAGGAAATTACGCGTAAACCGCGCCGTGTCCCCTCTTCGGCTTTTTGTCCAGCCCCAGCTTTTCCAAAGTTCCACCACCAAAACCGAAAAAGCAGCAGGCACGCGAAACAGCTTAATGGCAGGAAGACTAAACCGAGAATAAATCACATGACAGGCACCTGCACACAGTGACATGTCTGCAGTGCTCAACAACTGTTTGAAAAGACAGATGGAGCCTTCGCAAGTTATGTAGCTCCCCTCGCTAATGGTCAACTAAATCCTCACAAATGGTTTTCACCTTTACCGCCCAGCAGCCGCTCGTTTTTTCCGCCTCTGTCTTTCAGCGACCCATTATTAAACCCAGTCCAATGTTCGGATTGGTGGTCGGGCCACGCACCAGGTAGCACGCCGCCAAGCCTGCCTTTGGGGTGCCGTTTCACATAGCTCGCTGACGTGTTCCGGCTGTAACTTCAAGTTTTAAACGGTCTTGCGCCCGGCTTCGGAGTCACGACCGTTTTTGTCGTCACTGCTCTTCGGCTGCAATTGTTCCCCCGGGGGCACAATTCGAGTGAGATCGTCTGCAGCCACTGGCCCCGACAGGCGCCGCCAGCCGGTGCGGGCCGTGAGCGGCGCTGATTAGACCCCAGCGGGCGATTGCTCTGTTGCGGCGGAAGACCGCGGTATGGTGGTCACCAGCTTACCCGGCACTAATTGGGGCGTTTAGTCGACGGCGAGGTACTTTGGGCGGAGCATCGCTTCGCAGGGTATCTCCGGAACCAGAAGACAGATCTCGACCGTTCACACTAAAGTCAATGACCTAAGGGTGACAGGTGACGTTGTAGATCAGGGAAACGGAAATCATTGCTGAAATGCAATATGTACTTGCTATTTGCATGTAAGACGTGGTTTTAATGTCAACGTCATGTAGGTACAGACACGATGGTTGACTAGGCTAGGTAAATCGAGTTGGTGTCGAGAACTGAAATAAAAATGAAACCGAAAATTGGTATCACATGACCAAGCATGTTTGCCTGAAGACGCTCATAACTTTTCGGGATCAACTAGTAAATCTAATGATATCAGAAAATTTTGAGCCTACGTGCTCGCAATCTTCAGGAGCAAGAACATCAATGCCCGGGTTGCAATCGCCGTCAGACAAAACGGTGCTGGTCGCTGTAGTTAACACCAGATAGTGGGGGCTGCCGCGTTAGAACGAGCATGTGTCATACAACAATGCCCCCCTCATGTTGTGACGGAGCTCTCTCATAATCAATTGGCAGCTTTCAAAAGCTAGAGTAGACGTGTCGTTAGGCTGTCATGTTTGCGAAATGTCCTCTGAACAATCCAGCAACACGAAAAACAACACGAAAACGGGGATTCCGCCATTATGCTTTAAACTTCACAGTGATGTAAATGCTAATCCATCCCATTATGTATCTGAAAATTGCACAGGTGAAACACACTGCCTCAACTGTATTTTAATGTACGAATTGATGCACAACACGTTGGAAGGTACTTCTCTCAGACGCGTGAATGCGTGATTGTCTAAAGTCCGCTTGTTGGCTGTTGCCTAGTGTTAGGTGCAAGGCCGACGCTGTATGGCTGAAGGAGACTGCAGCACCGGGTGTTGGGGATTTTGTGGGAGAATTTTTAGATTTTTCGAGGTAGTACTCCACATTTTATGGGGTCTTGAACTGAAATAGTCATCTCGAAGAACTTTTGGTGCTGCTTACAATCCTGCCAGCCGTGAGATATAAGCACCTCTAGTTTCTGAGCTGCACGCCCGTGAAAATGGGGAAAGGTATATCGGGAAGATTATTGCAAAGTAACCTCGGCATCCATGACGCTATAACAATACCATTCAAATTATGCCATTGCAGAAGCCATGCGGCGATTAAAGCCAAGAAAAATGCAATTGTCGAGCCGTTCATATCTGGCGCTTGTTAGCGCGATTTCCAGCTACAACGGCCGTCAACTGGTTCTCAGTGTTGTGCAAGGTACGATGACGTAATCGAATAATGAAACATTGAGCGGTATGTTTACTAAACAGAGAATGGTGCTGCGTAGTGCAGTCTTTTCCACTAAAAAAGTATACCATTAGTTATAAATAAGCTTGTTGCACCCTATCTGAAGCTTGCTTCAATGTCTTCGAATGTGATACATTCCCTTTAAGGAGACTGCAACGCTGGGTGTCGGTGATTTCGTTTTAAAGTCTTGCGGTCGCTTCTATTGAACACTGATATTCGCGGACATGGGATGGCGTTGTCAGCACATGTGTTTGACCCCATTTCAATCGAAAATTTACGCTCAATCCACGGGACCCTTAAAATATCTGCAGAATGCCAAAAAAAATCCGTCGTAGTCCTTCAGTTCCATCAGTTTAGAAAGAGTCCACTGATCTTGTGAAATGAAGTCGGTGGTGTATCCGATGCACTTATTTGACCTCTGTGTTTTCAGTTGATTCGCTTCCAACACCAACAGAGCTGCATATTCCGCTCACTTTTGTCCTCTATTTCAGTTTAAAGATAGTAGAAATTAAAACAAGAGGAAGAAAATCATGCCCGCTCTACACCAAGTGCGCCACATTCGGTGGCTTTTATTTGGGCAGGGGGCTATTTACCCACGGTGTCCCTTTGTCAGTCCTGTGCCCACCCAACCGCCTTAGCAAGACATGAGCAGCACCCATTGCGGTGGCATATGTACTGACTGATCTTTTTTACATCTGTCATAACCTGGCATAAGTCCCAGTACACCCAGA